CCGTGCCGGAAATGTGTGCAACCGGTCACACGCGCGCCAGCGTTCACCTGGCACCGCTCTCTCCGGGCCATTTTTAAGGATGTGTACGACATCGCGAACCAGAACAGATCAAGCTGTACCTTTCATCAGCAAGAAAGACCTTCAGCTCCTGATTTGTTTAGCCATAATGAGTTGCTCGAATATGCTCGATCGACGTTATGTTTGTTATTTCGGCCGGTTAAAGATCAAGGTACCGAAATTGGTTGTCTGTATGGCATCTTAAATTTCGGAAATATCCACTTCCATCTTTTGGAAGGAGTAAAAACAATTTTCAGCAAATTGCACAGAAACATTATGCAACGTTTTTTAAAAGACAAATATATCACACTTGACGACATTTTATTCGCTCAGGTGATTGGGATGATAGCTCATGAAATGAAAAAGGAAAATAGCTCGATCTAGAACAAGCGATGCTCCCCTCTTCCCTCTTTATGGGATTTTTCTTTCAAAATAAGAAAGCAATCGTAAACATACCTACGTTAAAACAAAGCAGAGAATTTTGTCGCCTGTCGCATACGAGTTTTTTGCGTCGTATGGGGCATCCTACACAGGTTCCACAATTCTGAAATTGCACAGTAGTATTGAGCGGCATGTGGGTGAATCTATTGGAACGGAAAAATGGCTTGCAAGCCTGATCTCTCCCCAAACGAGAAAATGCATTTGCATATGACAACCCAGTGTTGGCTTCCAATCTTAGTACCTTGGCCAGGACATACTGCACGCTTGGTTTGACAATAGAGACTTTCTATGCATTTCTGGGAAACGTTTAGCGCTAAATAACATGACTTCATCGTATCCATTAAAAATTTTGATAACATGAAATGGCTGTAGAACTTGAGGAACGTATTTCATTACATGTGCTTTTGTGTCGTTTCAATTTTTTTGCGTCATGTGCATGTGTTAAACCATTATGGTGTATTCTGTGCGTGTGTTTTTGTCTGATGGTTCAGCCGCTGTTTGTGAAAAGCGTCGCGAGCTAATATGAGATGTAGAAGTTGATCGACATATATTGATATCACATTTAGATAATATGTTAGGGGGAGAGAGAGAGGGAGAGAGAGAGAGAGAGATAGAGAGAGAGACGAGAGAGAGAGAGAGAGAGAGAGAGAGAGAGAGAGAGAGAGAGAGAGAGAGAGAGAGAGAGAGAGAGAGAGAGAGAGAGAGAGAGGAGGAGAGAGAGAGAGAGGAGAGAGAGAGAGAGAGAGAGAGAGAGAGAGAGAGAGAGAGAGAGAGAGAGAGAGAGAGAGAGAGAGAGAGCGAGAGAGAGAGAGAGAGAGAGAGAGAGAGAGAGAGAGAGAGAGAGAGAGAGAGAGAGAGAGAGAGAGAGAGAGAGAGAGAGAGAGTGGTTATATAAATTAATGTCTGCCCGAAAATATCCCGTGACCCAATAACTCCTGGCGCATAGAAGGACGGTTATTTTCAGCTCTCTCAGAACTCATAAGAACAGACCTATGCAAGAAATCAGCTGCACGTTTGTAGGTGAAAATGTCGTAAACCACTAAGCGGTCTGAACACACGGGCCCCTCTCAGACCTCCGACCCTCGTTGAGCAGGTGTCTGGGCGTGCATTGAACTTGCCCCAGCCAGTCTTTCTCACCTGTACTTTTCTCACGGCGAACGTCGTCGCGGGTAAAAAGATCGTCTCTATGACGTCCAAACGGCGCGTCACGGGATCAGTTTGACTGCACCATCCGCCATTATGTCCTTCAATCACAGACCATCTGTGAGCCGACGAGCCGGCCGAGGAAGCGTGCGGGCTGGGCAGCTCACAGCGTCTGCAGAACTATCTCCGTGCAGAGCCGTGAGCCGTGTAGAGCCATGAGTTGTGGGTCCCCCGGGAGAACTGCGTTCTGACGTATTTTCCGGCGTTGAGTGCAGGCCCGAATCGCGCGCCGACTTCGAGCGTGACGTCATTCATCTCTGTCATCCTGCAGACGCACTCTCAAGCAGAATGACGTCCGCGGGCTCTAGTGTGTTTATGATCGGAGCAGACTCGCGCGCCGTTCAACAGCTCTCCATTGAGGAATAACCACTTTTGATACCTGCGTAGGCTGGAACGCCCACCGGGTTGCCCGTTTCCCCCCCCCCCCCCCCCCCGCCTCACCGGGTGGTGGCGGCGTTTGACCGGAGATATCAGTTACTAGGTCGACCAAGTCCTCACCGACCCCGATCATCGGACTCTTCGAGGGTGCCTCGTGATGAGACCACGATGGACGGAACCCAGCGGGCTTGATAGGTCTAGCTTCGCTACGTTAACTGTCGGTGATAAGTCCAGCCGCGCGCCGTCAACTCTCGGTGATAGGTTCAGCCACGTGCCGTCAGCTGTCGTTGATAGGTGTGCCTGACGTCATCGGAGACCGGCTGCGGCATAACGTTGTGCTGGTGAGAGCCGTCACAGGGCACGGAGCCCTTTTGTGGGGGGGCGTGAACGCGATGTTGAGCTCTCTGATGGGGGCGAACGCGGTAGTGACCTTCTGTGACGGCATGAACGCGGTAGTAAACCCTCTGTAATGGCGTAAACGCGGTAGTGACCGCCTGCGACGGCGTGAACGCGGTAGTGAGCCCTTTATGATGGTGTAAACGCGGTAATGACTCTCTATGGCGGTGTGAATGCGGCAGTGACCCTCTTTGGCCGTGTGAACGCGGTAGTGACCCTCTGTAATTGCGTGAACACGGCAGTGACCCTCTGTGACGGCGTCAACGCGGTAGTGACCGTCTTGACGGCGTGAACACGGCAGTGAGCCCTTTGTGATGGCGTGAACGCGGCAGTGAGGAGCATCCGGTGCTAGAGCCGCGACGCTCAGCCGACGAATGTAATTCTTGTAAAGGATGCAGCCAAATAGAGCTAAGGTGCCAGTCTTCAATAAATTGCGATGTTTCCCTCTTGGAAACCAGCACTGCTGTGCTTCGCTTCCACGATCAGGGGAGTACTTGAGGCAGGTGTTCGGACTAAAGGATTTCGTATTTCATCGGCTAGAGTGGATTTGTCGACTCTCGTCGGTGTCCGGGGGCCGATGTCTGATGAGAACTGGAGGTGGATGTTATGCAGTCCACAGTGGCCTATATTCTATACGTATTCGTTATGTTTCCGCCAAAACCTGGCAACAATCGCAACAATGCAGATTATTTCCAAATTATATCTTTCTTTGACTGAAATTGCTAGGCCCGCACAGACCAACTGCTTACCAAGCTTCAAACAACGTGTTTCGTGGATGAGCGGGCGTTTTTTGCATCACACCTGCCAAACAGCATCTAAACTACATCGAACTGAACCATTTGCGCGGCTTTGGTCCAAATGACTTAATCTTAATGGTGTCTGGTCCTACAAGCGCCCGTTTCCGTGTCATCTGTTCGATCATCCCTGATAGTTTCCACGAATGTCACGGCCCGTCCCGCGTGATCAGATGCACCTTACTGGTACTAACACGGAATGGCTTAAATGTCCTGCGGAGTACAGCTCGCGAACCGCAAAACGCAGCCCACCTTCACCGAAATGTGTATTCAATTCATTCTGAACGCATTTCTAACACTTTCACTCATCCTGGGCTTAGGTGTTTCAAGGAACTCCATGTACGTTCTACAATCGGGGGAAAATCGCAGTGCTTGTAGAACCACACTTCCGCCCTACAGCTCGTCATTATCCGCGCAGTTGGGCGGGTAACATGCAGCCGCTGTATACCCTTTATTCTCATATGTTTTATTGTTTCCGAGGGATGGCCCTAGGGATGGTCCTAAGTGTTGCAGACTGGAAATCTGAATGACTGTAACTTCAGAGCACACGGTTGTTCAAACTGCGACCAGAACCAGATGAGGCAAGAAATTAGGGCATTTTTATAGATGTGTGAGCCTCTATGAATTTTATAAGTTTCATGGGTATGGGCTCCGTCGATATGGCCTCATTGATGTCGGTCTCATTGATATGGGTCTAATCAGCCTAATCGTTACTGATTTTGCGATTTAGATTTATATCAAACCTTGACATGCGCTCGGGTCGGTTTCCGGACCGTGCATGAGTACGACTTACAATGAAACGAATGTGGAATAACTTCAATTCCTCAAAACATGGGCATTCGAACACGATATATCCTTATAACTAATAGCTGTTAGATCCCAATGTTATGTCTGCTGACAACATAGATCATGTATGGACCTTTCTCTGACTGTTAAACGTGTCCTCTGTCTTCGTACACAAATTAAGGCGCAGGCGTGACGGCCAGTCGAGTTCGTCGCCAATGGCAGGTGGCACAGGTCGACAAAACGCAGCCGCCAAAAAAAGCGGCTGTCCGGCCGGCTCAACATGGGACGGTTGGACACCCGGGACCGACCGGCTGTCTCCAGAGCTGACCGGTAACCTGACCGATGACCGGCTGGATGTCTCCAGAGCCGACCAGTGACCGGCCGACTGTCTCCAGAGCCGACCGTTGACCGGCTGGTTGTCTCCAGAGCCGACCGGTGACCGGCTGGTGGTCTCCAGAGCCGACCGGTAACCGGCTGGCTGTCTCCAGAGCTGACCGAATGACCGGCCGGCTGTCTCCTGAGGCCGACCGGTGACCGACCGGCTGTCTCTGAGCCGACCGGTGACCGACCGGCTGTATCCAGAGCCGACCGGTGACCGACCGGCTGTCTCCAGAGCCGACCGGTGACCGACCGGCTGTCTCCTGAGCCGACCGGTGACCGACCGGCTGTATCCAGAGCCGACCGGTTGACCGACCGGCTGTCTCCAGAGCCGACCGGTGACCGACCGGCTGTATCCAGAGTCAACCGGTGACCAGCTGGCTGTCTCCAGAGCTGACCGGTGACCGGCCGGCTGTTTCCAGAGCTGACCGGTGACCGACCGGCAGGCTCTCGGTCGGTCGCCGGTCGGTCACCGGTCAGGTCGGTCGGTCGGTCGCCGTCGGGACCGTCAGCCGGCCGTCGGTCGGCCGCCGCCGCCGCCGCCGCCGCCGCCGTCGCCGCCGCCGCTCAGCTAGAAGAATCCGTCCTCGTCGGGGCCGGGTCGTGACGCACGAAGCCCGGGTGGGAGCCGCGCCGACCCGGGTCGCCGGGCCGCGGCGCCAGACGGGTCACCTTATGCACCGGCGCCATTAGGCCGTGGCTGGGCGGGCACTCGAAGTACCTGCCGGACCGGCGGTCAGGTTAGATGCGTCTGTCCATCCTGTCATGCTCAGCGGGCAGGTGGCTGCTGGACGGATGCTGACGCCTCTGGCTGTTAAAGATCACCCAGCCGGCGAGTCAACATAGTACGGTGTGCCGTTGTCGGTGAGATAAACCGCAGGGGGGGAGGGGGAGGGGAGGCGTAATTACCGAGTGGTTGGCATCTACATCTTCCACGTACGGGCTCGGGTCCAAATTCCGGTGAAGCCAGTCCCTGAACGCTAATATGACCTTTGCAGCCGTCAGCGCTCCATATAAGAGTACGTCGTGTTGCCTTTTTTGAAGAGCTTAACCGTGGTGTGGTGAACGGCGCGTCCATCGTCCCTTCAAAACTGTCTCGTACGTTGGTTTCTCTCCCTACCGTGGCTGGTTTCAAATGTAAGAACATTTGCAAGGGAAAGCCTTAAAACCGCATGATTTCTCTCACAGAACGGTCTGGAAGCCAAAGACGGAAGTCTTCCAGGCCACATTCTGTCCACGATGGAGGAGTGTCCCATTCATGCTATACCACGCCTCAATATAACTCAGGCTGAATTCATCTTGTATTTATAAACACAACTGCACCGACCATGGGCGCCAGCTACATTCAGTTTCGCGTCAGGGCAAAGTGGGCCTCATAAGATTTGTCAGTTTGCACCATGGCCGATTTCCTTGCCAGCTCCGCGACGCTGAAGCGTCTCGTATTGAACAGTATTGGATTTACACGTTCCGCCGGAGTTGCTGGAGGGTGCCAAACCGGTCCAAAGAAGCATCACAGCTGACGAACAGCTACATCCGCCGGTGGGCGAACTTCAGTTGTGCAGTGCCCATTGATACTGGCGACAAAGCCAGTCATTGGCCGACAGTTCTGGCGTGACGCTTTGCGGAGTCGTCGCGTCAGTAGCGGCTCAATACCGAATCATGAAGTACCGCGCCATTCAGTGCGCGCGAGCTGAAATTCCCACCAGATGATGGCTGCCGCGCCGTCACCTGGCTGCGGGGATGTCAGGCGCCGGGCGCGCATTGCGGCAGCGCCGGAGGCGGCCGGACTTGGGGTGAAGACCGCCGCCATGTAATGGCCGATTGAGGCGCCCCATCCCGCACCGATATCAGTTGGGATGGCCCGTGACTTTGTAAAAATGACTATCTGAATGGAATGACGTGCCTTTGAGTTTGATGTTAATGACACTTTGAGGTCGCTCTATGTAATAAATCAGCGCGAGCGAAATAGATTAAACTCACCGGCATGGCAACACGACATAGAAACACGTTCTCCAAAAAAAATATTTAAAAAGAGGGAAACATTCTTCACAGTGCTACAAACACCACCTTTCAGTTTTCAACCAAAGTATTTGCGTTGCTTGGGAAATTGCGTTCGTCACGGCGGTGGCAGATACGTTTGAAGCGCTGACAGCACACTTATTTGTGAAGACTCCATGCCACTCCCATCGCGGTTTTTTGAGCATTGGGAAATGGCGACGCATTGTGAGCAACACATACAAACACCTGCAACGACACCTAGCGACAATGGCCTTGCGTCATTACTGGCGGCGCCCGTCAGCTGCAGACGCGCCCGGCGGCCTGCTCCGGTGCGCGGGCACCCACGCGGCGTCGGCTCACCTGGTGCCGGCCACGCTGCCGTCGTTCCTGCCGCGGGCCTCATCCAGCTGGACGCCGGCCCACTGGCCGTCGGCGAAGCCGGTGGGACCCAGGAAGCGGAGCGTGCCGAGCCGGCGGCCAGCGCTGCTCGCCACCGCCACCCGGTCGCCGACACGCAACGCGGCGGCCGGTCGCTCCCCCTGCACCGGCGAGCCGCGGCCGCCGGCAGCGCCGACCACTGACGAGCGGCCCACACTGGTCAGGCGTGCACTCACAGATACACAGCGGGTCGGTGGGGCGTTAGGTGTGCACCCACAGATACACAGCGGGTCGGCGGAGCATTAGGTGTGCCCTCACAGATACAAAGCGGGTCGGTGGGCGTTAGGTGTACACTCGCAGATACACAGCGGCTCGGTGAGCCTTAGGTGTACACTCACAGATACACAGCGGCTCGGTGAGCGTTAGGTGTACACTCACAGATACACAGTGGGTCGGTGGGCGTTAGGTGTACCCTCACAGATACAAAGCGGGTCGATGGGGGCGTGCACTTGTTGTGCACTCCCATGTACACACAGATACACAGCGGGTCGGTGGAGCCTTAGGTGAACACTCACAGATACACAACGGGTCGGTTGGGCGTCAGGTGTACACTCACAGATACACAGCGAGTCGGTTGGGCGTTAGGTGTGCACTCAGATACACAACGGGTCGGCGGAGGCGTTAGATGTGCACTCACAGATACACAGCGGGTCGGTTGGGCGTTAGGTGTACACTCACAGATACACAGCGGGTCGGTTGGGCGTTAGGTGTGCACTCACAGATACACAGCGGGTCGATGGGGGCGTTAGGTGTGCACTCTCATATACAAAGCGGGTCGGTTGGGTGTTAGGTGTGCACTCATACACAGCGAGTCGGTGGAGCTTTAGGTGTGCACTCTCATGTACGCAGCGGGTCAGTGGGGGCGTTAGGTGCGCAAATCGCAGATACACAGCGGGTCGGTGGGGCGTTAGGTGTACACTCACAGATACACAGCGGGTCGGCGGAGCCTTAGGTGTGCACTCACAGATACACAGCGGGTCGGTGGGGCGTTAGGTGTACACTCACAGATACACAGCGGGTCGGCGGAGCCTTAGGTGTACACTCACAGATACACAGCGGGTCGGTTGGGCGTTAGGTGTACACTCACAGATACACTGCGGGGCGTTAGGTGAACACTCACATGTACACAGCGCAGCGGTAGGATTTCAGGCGTATGCACGAGAGATACGGGGCCTGGACGGAAAAGGCAGAGGGAGATAAAAGCACAGAGAGAGAGAGAGAGGGGGGAGAGAGAGAGAGGAGAGAGGAGGAGGAGGATGATGAGGAGAGAGAGAGGAGAGATAGAGAAGAGAGCGAGAGAGAATAGAAGAAGAAAGAACTGAGAGAGAGAGAGGAGAGGAAGAGAGGAAGACTAGAAGAAGAAGAGAGAGAGGAGAGATAGGAGAGAGGACGAGAGAGGAGAGAGGAGAGAGAGAGACGGAGAGAGAGAGAGAGAGAGAGAGAGGAGAAACACAGCATTATCGTTTCTTCTGAAGTGTTACCCAATGCCTGTTTATCAGAAAACTTGACCTGAAACACCTACGTTGCAGCCGAACAGGAATCGGCTAACAGCAGAGGCAGAATATTCATATTGACGTTATTTAGGAAGTGATCCCAAACGGGGATCGCTTAATTATGCAGTTTGAACACGAAGATGAATGCTGCCGATAATTCTTGGCGTATGGCTCGTGGCTCCTACTCAAAATGATGTTGCCAAATTAAAAGCATTTCGTTCACGCTTTCTAATCTTTAGTCAAATATGAAGTAGGTCGTGAGTGCACCACGGCCTTTTGATCGGCAGAGAGCTCAGGGCCGAAGCGTGACACTCCCGTAAATTACGCTTTTGCTTTGTTTTGACTTCTAAAATTACTTGTCACACATAGGATTAATGAGCAAGAGGTTATGGCCCATTGCGTTGCATATTACGCGGCATCGGTATGTCCGCTGCGATAACTCACGGCAATAGTCTCACCAAGGGCGTGGGTGCTGTCATTGTCGGAGCTAACTATGATAGATGCCCCAAATACCTCTCTCCGTACGGACTAATGACATTAAAGTCATCTTGTCATGGTGTAATTGGCGAGTATTTGACACAATCCGTTTAGAGGAGCAGTTACAAAAAGCAGTGATATATCACTTCACAATAACCCACTTTGAGTGCCTGTTCAGGATTCCCCATGCCTTCACGGCTGAAGGACAAATCTGCTGTGTGGGTGGTGTTAGTGGAGTGAGTAGAGCGAAGGATGTATTTTAGTTTCACTTCATCCAAAGCTCTATGCGGCAATCTACGTTCTATCAGAAACTTTTCCGAATCATTGTGCCGTAAACTGTGTCTAAACATGTTTATGTTGCTGCAAATGTGCTGAGCTCTTTAGTTTGTAAAATAATTTTAACCGATCATTCTCAACGCTCAACAACACTTGGAATTGGAAGGCCGCTGAATGTCATGAGCAATGTTATTCTTCCTCTGCATTCTCGCGATTTCTCCATTTTTGACAGCCCTGGAATTCGACGGACAGTGGCAATTCTGTGCCTGTCTGCTGGAAGGAAGATTATATAACAAATCCAATCAAGAAATAGACATCTATTTGTTGTCCAGAAGTTGCGCAGAGCGAACTCAAACGATCATGTATTTTACGCGATCTGGAGGTCGAGCCAGCCGAGATAATATCTCGCTTCTGAACGATCTACGAAGCTTGTGAGGCATCCGCAGCGTGCTGACTCAAGCCAGATCATGCCGGATTTGACAGGATTCATTTAAGCCACAGCTTTACCCGGTGCTCAGCATTCTCCAGCGTCCTGATCCCATTCATTCGTCGCGAACAGACCAGCCAGCCGGAGAGGAGGGGGGGGGGGGGGGGGGAGGTCGTCGGATCGGGGCAGCGCCAGCGCCTCCCCCACCCATCTGCCGGCTTACCGGAGGATTTTGCCTGATCAACGACAGGCGATCGATTTCCCATTCTGGGCTTCCGCGCACGCCGCAAGGCGAGCGCGGCCACAACACCCGCACAGTACCGACGGCCGGGGGCCGGCCACCGGGGCCCGACAGGATGGACGGGGACCACGGCGGCGGGCGAGCGCCGGACACCGGGGCCCAACAGGATGGGACGGGGACCACGGCGGCGGGCGAGCGCCGGCTATCGGGGCCCGACAGGATGGGACGGGGACCACGGCGGCGGGCGAGCGCCGGACACCGGGGTCGGACAGGATGGGACGGGGACCACAGTGGCGGGCGACTTCGGACACCGGTGTCGGACAGGATGGGACGGGGACAAGGGAAGCGGAACGAGCGTCGGACACCGGGGTCGGACAGGGTGGGACGAGGACAAGGGCGGCGGACGAGCGGAGGACACCGGGATCGGGCAGGATCGGACGGGGACAACGGCGGCGGACGAGCGGCGGACAAAGCAACGGCAGAGGCATTATACCGTGGTACAGAGACTGTGGCCCGCGGCGATCCAATCAGAACAAAGGGATAGAAAAACAGCACATAATGGGGAGGAGACAACTGCCAGCGTGTGAGCCGGTTTATCAGGCCCTTTTATTCTGTTCGAATAAGTATCTAACTATCTAAATTATATTATTATATTATTTTCGATATTCTTAGTTAGAGAAGTGCCTTGCACAATTTCCTCCTCACTGACACAATATTTTTCTTCACTCAGAAATGTTCTAGTTTCGGCCTAGCGCTGTCATGTGCTGCCATCTGGTGTCTTGCATTTTTGTGGTTCCTCATCTAAATGAAGGAGCTAAGTGGCCTAACTCCTAAAAAAAATTAGAGCTAGGGTAGGTGAACCCACATTTAGAATCACTTCTATCGTCGAGGTTTTCTTTTTCTCAAAATTCCCTTCAAAAGACCTCGGGCCTAAATAGGCACAGGACCAAACACAGCGGGCCGACAGCACAGCATCGGCACCGGGCAAGGACGCCATGGCAATAAGAGCAATGGCAATCGCCGGTTACTAAACACGCTAAGCAGCCGCTGACGGTCTCTGCTGCTCTGCGACAACAGAGCTGGGAGACCTGTACAGGCGTCATTACTACGCGGTGGTCATCCACCACGTCATCTCAAAAGAAAAAGTGAAATGTGAAGTCTCTCAAAGCCACCTTTGACGCCGCACCCATCACCGATTCTTCCCCAGTTTAAGTTAGATCACCTTCCCGTCCGCCCACGGCGGTTGCCAGGCGTTGGAGAACTTCTGCTGAGTCCCGTGCCACGTCCCGACCACCGCGGCCATCTGGGCTGGATTACTCGCCATCAGGCAACGTCATCATTTCCGCTGGCAAGCCGAGAGCTGGCTACTGTGTAACGAGGAGGAAGTCCTCTCCTGTTATCCTGGTTGGATTGGATAGTGTCCAGAAGATTGGATTCTGGATGGTCGTCATGTGTCCACAGCCGAAAAGCTGGGGGTTTACGGGAAATTGGTTAATGGTTTGCGGATGGTGAGGAGGCAGGGCTGCGCACAGAAGATCGTTACACAGCTTAGACGAAAAGCATAAGAAAGCGGCGACCAGACTGCACGGAAAAGTGCTAGCAAAGTATGTGACCTACGGTTAACTTCCCAACAAACGAGCTTTCACAAAGGTGACGCTGTAATGTACGCCTGCAAAACTACAGTAGATATTGCTGGTAGCTATGGTTGCCCTCTTCCAACTCAACATATGGTACGTCTCTGGAGCGTTATGTAACCAATGACTCTGGCTTAGCTCGACTATCGCGGCTGAGCCGTAAATGCATCGTCACTTACAGCTGCGTTTGGAACAGTCCGGCGGCGGCCCTCATTCAGCTGGGTCTCACGCTTCCGTCAGTTACCGCCGGAGCATTGCCTCTCACTTCTCTCCTGCTGGATTACGGCTGGAGCCGGACCTTCCGCCGCCTCATTGCCAGGAACCTCATTTATCGCCTCCCCCGCGGGGTCACTACCGGAGCCTCTCCTCCCCTTCTGCGACCGCCAGAGGCTCCCGTCCCCTGCTGTGACCGCCAGAGCCTCCCCTCCCCTGCTGTGACCGCCGGAGTCTCCCCTCCCCTTCTGCGACCCGCCGGAGTCTCCCCTCCCCTGCTGTGACCGCCGGAGTCTCTCCTCCCCTTCTGCGACCGCCGGAGCCTCCCCTCCCCTGCTGTGACCGCCGGAGCCTCTCCTCCCTGCCGTGACCGCCAGAGCCTCACCTCCCCTGCCGTGACCGCCGGAGCCTCTCCTCCCTGCCGTGACTCCCGGAGCCTCTCCTCCCTGCCGTGACCCCCGAAGCCTCACCTCTCGCCGGGCTGCTGCGACTTGCTGCCGCCGCCGGCAGCTGCTTGGCTGGGGAGCTGCGGGACGTGCGCCGCGAGCCGCTCAGCGCGCGCTCGGCCGAGTCGGCGTCTCGCTCCGGCGTACCCAGCGACTCGCGAGTCAGCCGCGTCAGCCGCGAGAACACGCCGTGCTTAGGCTCACACTGGAAGTAGTGGTAGCCGGCCACCGTGCCGTCCGTCTTGCCTGCGGAGCAGCGGCGGCCTCGTTAGACGTCGGCGGGGGCATGCGTGCGACTGCACACCTCTTGGCCCTCAGGGGATCCGGTCTGCCCCCAAAAATTATATAGTGAAATGCGCAGAAAGTTGTGGGATGTCTTCTTCATGTGATATTTGTTTTGCCAGGATATTTTTTTGCCGAACCGATTGCGTATAATGTTGAGCTTAAATGTGGAACGTGGGAAGCAAGTACGTGACTGTAACTGCAGTTATGGCGGTAGATTAATGACGTCAGGCTCAGTGATACAACGCTGATCTCGTATGCCCAATTTCCTTATTCAGCATACTGTAGACAGATCTAGGCTGCTGTTTTCTGTTTTCCTTGGTATTTTTTTTTTAGCATTTTCCAGCTGATGAAACAAAATGAGATGCTGGCAAAATGCAACTGATATTCATCAAATATACACGGCATAGATAAACTATGACAGTGATGCTTTTCCGACACCTGGTACCTGGTTGATACCCTCTGCCGTCTCCACAATGCCATGTTTTCCCTTTCCTCTATTCATATTGTGAAATGAGCCCGCACATTCTTCAGAGACATGCAATCTCCAGTAAACATGCATCATCAGAGGGCCGCAAAGGGGTTCTCGACCTCCAGCGGGCCCCATTCCCGATGCGCGCGTGGCTCACACACCGCACGGCTCACACCACCGCATCGCAAGCTCGAGTCGGAGCGCGGATTGCACGCGCGTGGCCGGTGAGGTGGATCAGGCTTGCGCCCTGTCCACGTCCACCGCTGGCGCCCCGCGTCCGCCATGAGGTAGTGCCGGGCTCGGCGCAGTGTGAAGCCTGCCGCGTCGAGTGTTTGGCGCAAGCCGTCACCGGCCGCTCTGGACTGTCGAGAGGGATTCAGCCTTCTCCAGCATGGCGGAACTGGCGGCGCCGCTGCGGCGCCCCCCCCCCCCCCCCCATCCCCCCGGCCAGCGTGGCGCGCCAAACACGCCACGCCCGTCAGCAGCGAAACGCTCTTCGGACCACACTGCTTCTGTCGTATTTACGTATCCGGGTCGCCGGGTGCGGCTAATGTATTTCGTGTTAAGGCCTTATTGGTTGGTTGTTTGCTAACCCAGCTGTAAGGCATTAGCTGCAAGATTAAATTCATAGCTTAATTAGTATATGAGCTTAGCTGGAGCCCTAGGTAAGTCTGTCCTATAAATCGCATGCGGTATTACGACCCCCGCCGGCAAATTGTAGCTCAGCCATCACATAATGTATATGGCTTAATTAAGGCTTTTGAGCTAAACACGTGGTGTATATCTTCCTAATTGATAGCACGGTCACATTTCTCAGAGTCAATCTGCAGACAAATTTCATTTCATAATAAGTTGAGAGGTGGTTGCGTAGGTACTGGCGATTTAGTAGTTGCCTTTCGAAGCAGCACATCGAAGAGACAGATCAGCCTCCAATGTCTTAAATGGGGAGAATGATGCTCACTTGCTCAAATCAGTTTAACCACGCACCGAAGCTTGTTCAGGAGGATTTTACCGTCCCGACTGCAGGCCTCGGACAGTTTTCACGTAATTCGTCTCTCGCCTGTCGCCGGTCCAATATCGCACGTTGCCCGTCAGCACGGCAAGCCAGCTTCCCCGCGTGCCCGAGACACGCGGTCCTGCTCGATTACGCTCACCCCGATTGCCAGCTGCGCCGCGTCTGTCCTATTGCTTCGCGCACATCAATCGTTGGCGGCGGTCAGCCGGTCGTCGATCCATCTCCGGCTGACCGCCAAGGGCCGCCTGTCACCCACACCGCCGTCTGCTGCCGGCGACCGCGTCGCTCCGCAGGACCCGGCCGCCTCTGGCGCCGATGAGCCATTCCCGCCCGGCAGCGACCGCCGTCCGACGCCGCGATCACCTGATCCGCGGGTCGCGTCAGAGGAGGAGATTGTTCGGCAGATGATCTGGGGACGGGCGTCGCGGATGGCCGAAGACTGGCCCGTCCAGCTCACCCGCCGCGAGCTGGGAGAGCGGCGGCTCGTCCAAGGACTGGCCCGTCCTCGCCAGCTGAGCGGGATGGCGTGACAGCCGGCTGTGACGTCCGGAGAGCCCACCAGCCGAGAACTGACCCTTACTCGCCAGCTGAGCGCATGACGCGACAGCTGGCTGTGACGTTAGGACAGCCCACCAGCCGAGGACTGACCCTTCCTCGCCAGCTGAGCGCATGACGCGACAGCTGACTGTGACGTTAGGACAGCCCACCAGCCGAGGACTGACCCGTTCTCGCCAGCTGAGCGCATGACGCGACAGCTGGCTGTGACGTTAGGACAGCCCACCAGCCGAGGACTGACCCGTTCTTGTCAGCTGAGCGCATGACGCGACAGCTGGCTGTGACGTTAGGACAGCCCACCAGCCGAGGACCGACCCGTTCTCGCCAGCTGAGCGCATGACGCGACAGCTGGCTGTGACGTTAGGACAGCCCACCAGCCGAGGACTGACCCGTTCTCGCCAGCTGAGCGCATGACGCGACAGCTGGCTGTGACGTTAGGACAGCCCACCAGCCGAGGACCGACCCGTTCTCGCCAGGATGGCGCGACAGCCGGCGCCGGGATGGCGCGACAGCCGGCTGACGTCAAAAGAGCCGACAGGCCGCACCCCTGCACCGTCGCTCCGTGACTCGCTCGTGAAAACTGTCCCGCTCCTTCGTTTCTTCCGTCAAGGCTGTTGGGTGCCCGGGTGGTTGCATGTGGTAACAGGTAGGATGGGTGATTTTTTCTTTTTTACTTCTGATGCGGCTTGACCTGTCTCAGGCTTCCTCTGGCTTTGCGCTTCCGACATTTCTAAAGGTTTTCGGGCACGGAAAGCAAGCTGACGCAGTGCTGTTTCAGCTGATGGATTCAGAATAATCCCATCAGTTAATCAACTAACCACCCATTTCTGAGTACGGTACTAATGGCGAATTCAGTAGCGAGCTAACCGTGTCCAGATGTGCACAGCGCCACGTTAATAACCTTAATTAACCTCAATAGATATCTGGGCAAAATTTCAGGTTTTCATGGGCAGATTTCATCAGATTTCAGGGACAAGTGTGTGCGCACACTTGCCCTATTATTAATAGGAATGTTCGACGTTTGAATATATTAAAGCAAGCATTAGATATGATGGAATAGGCTCGCCTATAACTACCAAAATAGTTTTAGGTGGAAAAGACCGCTGCAGACAACACAATTACTTTACTTGGTTATATTTTCCTCAATACGTCGTTGGTCGACAGTGTCATCGTGCTTTGCACAACATTGATTAAGAGACAATTGATGGCCGTGATACCTGGAAATCGTGCTCACGAGCACCACGCATGAATGATTCGACACTTATATCTTTCTTGCCGTTGATCGTTGCATGGACAATGGAATGAATGCGTTTGAAAGACGATATTATGGTGTCATGGATGCCTGGGTGATTTGAAGTAGTCTCCCTAAAAAGTCTGCACATCTTCGCAGGCGTGTGACTTAAAAACTACAAGGGTTTAGGTCTACAAAGCTGTGAGCTGCACCGAATCATCTTTAAGATGGTTATTTCAGTTCAAGCTCCCATACAAATGGGGAAGACTCCTTTTAAAGAAATGTTTTACAGTTGGACATCTTTATATTTCCCTGTTCATTAGATCTCGAGAGCTAAGAAATCTAGATATACAAAATATACAGGTTGTGTTGACCTGTAAGTAAACTAAATTAGGTCAACGTTTGAGGTTCCTAGGTCATGACCTTCGGGTTAAATGAGGTTAAACATGGTCAAGTTCCAGGTTGGAATCTTAAGTGCCCCCAGAATGTAGATGATTATTTCTAAGCAAAAGGTCACATGCTCATTTAAGGTCAGTGACATTGTTTGACCTTTTGAAGGTCATGGTGACCAAAATCATACAAGACTGTTCTGAGTTTTGCATTTCCATAAGCGACAAAGATTATGCTAGGCAGCATGTTCCTGCAACAAAATGTTGACCTGGGTTCTTTTAGGTCAATGACCTATTGTAACCTTTAAGAAGTCTACGGAAGGTGTATAATGCGGTTCCCCCTATCAGTAAACTCGAAATGGGCACCAAAAGCTATCCCATACAGCAAGTCATAGAGCAATGAAACAGGCTGGTTTTGACACTGGTCTAACCTTCTTACATGACCTTAGGTCAACGTAATTTGTTCATTCAAGATGTGTACCTAAGAAAGCATCTCAGAGATGTATGGCTTCGTCTAGCACTCCGATGTTGCATCAGATTGAAAGATTCCCTAGAAATTGACTTCGCTGAAACCAAACCTTGACTTTGACCTGCCCTAGGTCAGCCACCTTACTCGGAACATCTAAATTTCTAATACCAAACGATCCGCTATTCAACTGGCTATGCAAAATTTGGCGCGGCTACGCCGCGCCGTTTGAAAACCATTCTGGAAAACTTCGGGGGGGGTCAATTTGGCCCCACCACCCCGCCCGAGCGCATGGTAGTGGCGTCATGGAAAGTTTGTATGACGTTTAGGTGCTACCAAGCCAGCTGTAGAGAACTGCCACCCCAGCACTCACCTGTAGTACTTCAATCT